TGTTGCTGCGGTCATGTTGGACACGCTCACCTTCCTCCTGGAGAGACTCTTCCTCCTCGCCCACATCAAGTTGTCCAGCCTGCTGCCACCTCTGGGCAGGGAGCGCGGAGACTCGCCGCTCACCAGCCGCAGTGACCGGGACGAATCTCCTCCGCAGAGGTTGCAGCGGGGAGACCTGCTGGAGGTCCCTCGGACGCTCTTTGTCCATTTCGGCATCTACCTGGGCGACAACCGCGTGGCGCACCTCATCCCGGACATCCTGCCGGTGCTGACCGCTGACAGCCGGCAGATCCAGGAGATGGTGACCAACACACGGCTGCTGCTCGGGGTGCTCTCCAAGCGCGCCAGCATTCGGGTGGACTCAGTGGAGGACTTCGCGTACGGAGCCGAGATCCTGCGCAACGCCATGGACCGGACAGTGCACCGGAGTCCGCTGACGGGGGAGGAGGTGGCCCGGCGGGCGGAGCGCCTAGTGGGCAGCGTGTCCTACAGCCTGCTGTGGAACAACTGCGAGCACTTCGTCACATACTGTCGCTACGGCGTGGCGGAGAGCCTGCAGACCGAGGAGGTGAGAACCCGGTGTTGTGTCCAGATGTGTTCCCTTCACCTGAACCCTACTTTACCTAGTCATAACCACAGGGGGGGGGGGCTACTAGAAACGCTGCTGTAACGGGGGGAAACGCTTGACGGGGGAGCAGATTCCGACACAACACCGACACGGGGTGTTGCTTTTTACGCGCACGGCAACACATTTTACGCGCGGGACTTGAGGCGCCTGCTTTGATGTAGCGGAGGTGCAGGTGATTTCTGCTGTTCACACTGACTTTAAGTATTTTCACACCAAGCAGTTGGTCGTGCTGTGGACGTGCACGTTTGTTTTACCGTGATATCTGAGATGTATTGGGGCCGTTTCCAAAAAGGACGAGGTTCCTGCGACCTGCTTGTTTCACAGACACTTGTTGGACCAGTGTAAATGTGGCTCCCAGTTAAGTTGAATACAAGTTGAAGAGCTTCACTTAAACACTTACTGTTACTGTTAGTGTACACGGCAGCAGCAGTGTCGAACGAGAACGCAACGCACGCTGCCGAGAGTCGGAACCTACTCCTGTAGGACTTGTTTAACATACACGCACAACTATTTACCTTCAGTTTCCCTTTGCACAAACCTTTCTGAAGGTTTTGATGCACAACCTTTGTCTCAGGGTGAAGCTCCACTAACGTGTGCACCATCTCGGTGCCACAGCCAGGCGGGCCGTGCGCAGCCTCGTAATGAACTGCTGCTGCTCTGCCTGTTCACAGGCTGCGCGTCCAGGTCAGTGACGTCTGTTTTGTTTCCTGCAGTGACTAAACTGCTCGCGCAAGTAGGACAGAAACGCACAGAGCTAATAAAGAATTCCTAACGGCTGGTTAGTGAAGAAATCACAGAAACACATCTGGGCCGAATCACAGCGCAGCAGTGAAATAAATGACCATAAACCCAGGTCCGAGCATCACGGCTGTGCCACGTGCACTGGTAGAGTCCCTCATTACTCAAGTACTCCTCTTCCTTTTCTCCAGTATTTCCATTTTCTACTTTGTGCTTCTATTCCAAGAGGAAAATACTGTACCTTCTACTGCACTACTTGATTCGAGAGCTTTAGTTTCTACTTAGTTTTCAGATTAGAATTTTTCTTTAAAATACATCAACTCAGAAACTACATAAGATTAAACCTGTGGTCTCCAGCATTCTTGGCCCGTGGCCCTTTAAAAAGTGTCTGGACGCCCTGTCACATGCCAGATGTTTGAGTTGTTAGCAGTTCAAGTCCAGTTTGATCTCAGATTTGCTTTAAGGGGCTTTACAATCTGTGAAGGCTTCATCACCCTCGATTCAGATGAGGAAAAACTCCACAACAAAACACTTTTAACAATAATTGTACAGAAAGACACGTTTCTTCTGGTGGTTTCAATAGAATATACAAAAACCAAAGACTAGACAAACACATTAACCAACTCACAGCCCCTCTGATTTATCTGCTGACCCACTGGAGGGGCCTGACCCCTAGGTTTGGAACCACTGGACTAAAGTAACTAACTATAAATGAATTGAAACCAGCAGTAAAATGCTGCTGATACAGTATATGTCAGTATTTAATCTAATAACTTTGACCTCTGTACTTCTACAGAAGACTGAGCCAACTTCCTCCCCCCCCCACCCGCACGCGGATCCGGCACCCCCCCCCCGATTTCAGGAGAAATGAAAACACTGTGCTTCAGTGTGTGAGGCTGTTTTTAAACGAGAGGAAAATCTGGGTCGCTGCTGAAGAAGCCCTGAGAACAAGAGCTGCATTGAGCGAAACCAGCCGGCGGTCAACTCAGCCTGATGAGGATGGTGATGATGAAGGAGGGCGGGGAGGCTCCCACTCCCCAGCGCGTGCCCTTCTCTATCGGTGTGCGCTGAGGTCACAGAGATATCGGCTCTGACAGATGATTAACCAAGGACGGTCCTTTAACAGCACATGGCACCAGTGGTTAAACTGGGCCCTGTGAGGAGGGATGGCCCTGGTCCAGAGTGTGTGTGTGTGTGTGTGTGTGTTGTCATTATTAGTCTGATGGTCTGTGGGCTCATACTGGATTTACCTCACTGCTTAGTGACTTGGTGATGCTGCTGTAATAAACCACTGGACAAGGCAGAAAGAAGTCTTGTGACTCTCCAGATGAAACGACATGTCACGGTTCGTTTGTGTCGCTGTGGAAACGGCTGATTCTGTGCAGAAAGTATGTGGGTTAATAAGGCGACTGAATGATCCCAGTGTCACATTAATGAAGTTGATGCTGCTGTGTTTCAGTCCTGCTGCAGTTTGATGGGCTCAGGTTGTTTTCACAGGACGTTTCGTGCTTCCTAGTTGAACTGTGAGGCGCTGAATTCAGATCTGTGGCTGTAGGTCTTAGGATATTTAGTCGTTTACCTGAGGAAAACTGAGAAGAAGAGACAGTGACTCAGTTTGAATATGTTACTGTGGTATAATGACGTTGAAACGCTGGAGCCAGACAATGAAACCACTTTAATCTCCATCTTCTTTAGCTGAGGCATGTTGTAAAAGGTGGGGTGAGGGGCCTGTTTGGTTCGCCCTCTGGCAGAAGGAGTCTGTCCCTGATCGAGTTTCGCTTTCTGTAATTGCTAGCCTAAACATCTGCCCTGCGGTCTGTGTGTGGGGGGCCACAGGGGCCTCACAGTGAAATTAACAACAGGCGCACTGTGACTAGAAGTTGGCTCAGTCTTCGGTCGGAGGTTTGGAGGCTTGAAACAGACTTTTATTAAATCATCTTTTAAGTATTTTATTCTATCGTGTTTTTGTGATTAGTTCATTTATTAATAGTTGAATTTGTAGCAGGGTGAAAACTGTGAAAACTGTGAAAATGGCCTGTGCAGTTTCCCACACGTCACATTTCATCCACCCACATACACAAAGTTTTGGTACAACTTCACCCGTCGAGACACAGACACGACAAAGGTCCAGCTACACCTGCAGTGTTTGGAGATGAAGCCTCGGTCAGTGTCTGTTAAAGGTCCACAGCAAGAGTCCTACAAATAATACAAACGTTTAAAAACCCTGAAAAACAATCACATCTGACGTATTCCCTCTCATTTTAATTCTGGATACATTTGTCTTCCGTACCTGAGGAACGTTGGCAGATTGTTGTTTGTTTTGTTTTGTTTTTCTTATTTTGTTGTCACATCAAATATTATTTTGCTCCTGTATTTACAATATTTCCCATCTTTCCTTCAGTTCTGTGAGTGGCTGAAGTCGCTGATCCGAGACCAGCGTGTCATCGTCCTCACGATGCTGCTGGGCCTCCTGTCCATGGCGTGTTTAGGAATATCGTCCAGCACCGCCCTGCCCGCCCTCCTCATCCCCTTCACCCTGTGGATGGCTAGCTAGGCGCTTCGCCTGAGCTGCCATGTTGGAAGACTGACCGAAAGGAAGCTGTTGTCTGCAAACACTTTCAAAATAATGACTGAACCTAAGTGCACTTGTAGCTCTTTCCTGCACCGTTTGCAGTGATGCGTCTTACGTTTTGTGCTAAACATAAGAAGTTCATCTGCAGGTTTTGTTGTGAAGGAATGAGTCCAGTATGGCAGTGCGTGGCTTGTAACCATTTCCCCAACAATAACGTGACACTTCTGGAGACAAAACCACAGATTTACTCATATTCATGGCATTTCACTATTCATATTATAATATTACATTTTGTAAATCTATCTGCCTTATGTCTTTTCAGCCTAGAGGGTCCAAAGAGACTCAGAACAAACTGACACCATCAGCTGCTCCTAACCACCCTTCCCCCTCCCATCACGTCCTGTTTCGTAGTGATGACGTAAACGGCGGATGCCTCCAAGTGAGGCAGCTTTATATACACAACTAGTTTAGTCCAGTTGTTCCCAACCTAGGAGTCAGGGCCTCCAAAGGATCACCAGATAAAACTGAAGGGTCGTGAAATACTGAAAGACTGCTTTGTATTCATCTTCTGGACTTTTCTCAAATCATTACAGGGAAAACTCTAATGTTATAGAGGGCCCCGACTTTTTGTGTAAGAGGACAAATCCACAAACGTCAAACATCATCCCCGGGAGTGATGGGGGGTTCGGTGTCTCGCTCAAGGACACTTCGACATGTGGACCAGACAAACCGGGAATCAAGCCGCTAATCTTCCAGTTAGGAGACGACCCGCTCTACCTCCTGAGCTGCCACCGCTCTGTAGCCGCTGGTTCAGACTTTTAGCTGTGTAGGACCTGTAGTTTGGTAGAATGGTCATATCTGAGTACAACCCTCCCTGAAATTCACTGTTTTTACACATTTACATCTAATTCTGTCGGCCGTCTTGAAACAGCAGGATGTGCTCATTTCAGCCTCTGAAGCTCTTGTGTAAATATCTATTCATATCACAAACTTTTGTACATATTTTCTTTTTTATGATGTAACATTTTATACAGTTTGTATGTAAATAAAGAAGGTGGAAGTCGAGTGAGCCTGTTGATTATTTGATTTTGAAACATTTCCATTGGTTTCTGGGTTAAACAGAAGGTCAGTGTTCCTCTGTTTCAAGTTGTTTTTGGTCAATTTGAGTTTTCAGGTTTTTCTTACAGAAACATGTGGGACGCTGGTGTCTGCTGCCCTCTACTGGGAACCAGTGGGAGCTGCAAAATTGTGAGCAGCAGGTGTGTGGGTTAAATAGCCCACACTGACCCTCGGCCAGCCCGGCAGCAGTTTCAACCCCCCACCCCCAAAGGGAGAATACAACTGGCTGCGACGTGACGGCCACACTCTCCTCCCACCATGTTTCCTCTGCAGCTGCTTGCTCTGCTCTTCATCTCCAGCCTGAAACAGGATCCGAAGGAGAAGAGGAGGCAGAAGGAGGGAGAAGAGGAGGAGGAGGAGGACAGACAGAGAGGACAGAAGAA